ATGTTAGTGTTGCACAAATAAGCTAAGTGAAAAGGGAAATATTACACCATATAATTCACCATTAAAGTTGAATGATTATTATACCTGTCTCTTATACAAATCTAGATGTGTATAAGAGACAGAAATAAAGCTGTGTTTACATTGGATTAATTTCCATCAAGACCAAGGTTGACTTTACCGTGGTTAATTCACACTACAGTCCTTTCCTCTAATCTATGTAAGTAACTCCTCCCCATCTACACTTTACAATTTAAGCTCATCCTTAAACTCCATCCACTCCACAGCAGAACCCCATTCCCCCTTCCATCTACACAATTATTTCTGTTATTTCCTGAAAAATTAAATAATGATAAATAATAACTATACATTGACAATAATCCTTTTCACCATAATCATTCATTACCATATTTTATCAATCAGTGGTGTTAAAAACTGAAATTAAATACGGCTCACATAATATTATTTTCCATTAACTTTCATTCTTTACTTTTTCTGTCATATTTTGACTTCTTGTTGAGGATTCTTTTGGAATTATTGTCATTAATTTATCTTGAAGTTCATGAGAATAGATTACAATACTTACCTCCTACTGTTGAGTATAACATAGTTGTGGATCAATTCAAATAACATGAGCCTAAAACTTGTATAATGTTCTCACATTCTTATGTTCAGAAATTAATACAACTGAATATGTAAGGTATTGTTTAAACGTAAACTTTCAATTTTGCCAGGTGTTGACCTTTGCTCTAGTAATAACCTCTGTCAGAACGGTGGTGTGTGCACCATGACAACGGACTGTCAATCAATCACATGTGCATGTCCACAATGCTTTGTTGGTGATTTCTGTGAAACAGGTAAGACATTTGATCTGAAGGGCGCCCTCATGCATTTATTTGTTGATATTCAGTAAGGATCTTATAAATAGAGGATAGCATTCTCACGATTTTTGCGTGCAAATTTTGTAATAACGCAGTGTACGGCGCCCTCTTGCAAAAGTGATTACTTTTTAACTTTGACATCAGAGATTGTTAACTAAGAAAGCACATCTGCGTGCAAATTCTATAACAACCATGGTAACAACTAAGACAGCCTCTCTCAAAAGTGATTACTTTTTATGGTTGTTTTTACTAAACATCGACGCTTCTATTTGTTACACGTAAAATTGCGGAGAGCGCTATCTTGTAATTATAAGATCTTTGATATTAAGGTGTTAATTATTCAGTCTAAAGGGTAGTCTGTTCATTTCTCTACATAAAATTTATTCTTATATTTTTTAAATATTTCATAATTTACATTTCTGTAATATATCCCATTTCTTGGCTTGACACTTTAGATAAGATAAAATAAAATATATTGTGTTTTTGTTTTCAGCCCGTGATCTATGTACCGAAAACACACCTTGTATGAATAATGGAACATGTGTGAATGAGTGTCCCAATACTAGATGTCTCTGCGGTATCTGCTACACTGGTTCAGTCTGTGAAACTCGTAAGTTCAAAATGAGAGAAAAGGAGCCATCTCAACCCTGTGTCACTTTTCCAAATATGTCCTTCTTGTAGAAAAAAAAATATCAAAAGAAATTAGTTTCTTTCTTATGAATATGTACACTTCATGAGGTTTGATTTCTTAAAAATTGGCAAATGTTAATTAATATACTCTCTTGGAAGGAGTGTAGAGCTGAGCGCTCGGTTGAGAGGTATTGTTCCTGCACCTTGTGCTTAAGACCCCCATTCAAACCCGACCAGCGTCAGGTTTTAATGGGAGTCTGATCGCTTCGCTCCTTGAATGACCCTCATATTGGGAGTTAGGCGGGCTAAGGACAATGCTTGTATCCATTATGTTGTAGTTTGAATGAGGACCAATAAAGAATTATTATTATTATTATTATTCGGGGAAGTTCAGTAAGTATATATGTTTCCTCTGTTTTTCAACACAATGCTGTTAGTGTAAATTTTGCAATGGATATGATGGTTACTGTAATTTTGTATGCTAATGCCATGTCCAGTCTTTCAAATTTTATTTGACAATAAACTGTTGTATGCCCATATATAGTCATGATGTGCCTGTATATGGTCATGATGTGATGTCATCATGCCCATATATAGTCATGATGTGCCTATATATGGTCTTGATGTGATGTCATCATGCCCATATATAGTCATGATGTGCCTATATTTGGTCATGGTGTGATGTCATCATGACCATATATAGTCATGATGTGCCTATATATGGTCATGGTGTGATGTCATTTTGTCCATATTAAGCATGTCACATGTTTTGTCAAATAACATTTGATAGTCTGGGTAAGGCTTTAAGTGAATGCCAATCTTCTTGTTTTTTATTGCTAAACTTTAATAAACCTTTTTCCCCTATACTTAGCCATTGATGCTTGCCAGAATAATCCATGTGAAAATGGTGGGATGTGTACCAATAACTGTAATTCCTACACCTGCTCATGTCAAAGATGTTTCGCTGGAGTCAACTGTGAAATCCGTGAGTATTCCTTTTTTTGCTTTCTTATTGTTGAATCACTCAAGTTAAGACCAATTAGAGATGGTTAATAGTAGGTTAACAAACAAAAACTGGTAATCTTAAGGTAATATAGTTATAAAATGTTGGTGTACGTATATAGTTATAAAATGTTGGTGTATGTATATACAACTATATTCTGTGTTTTTGCAGCTGTGAATCCTTGTGCCAATGACCCCTGTGTAAATGATGGAGTGTGCCTGATAAGTGATGACTGCCAGACTTACACTTGTAGATGTTCTGGGTGTTATGAAGGAGAACACTGTCAAATTGGTGAGTTATTTAAGAATCACTAAGCTCCATATAATGGATGCAATTTCCTTTTGATTAATTTTGTATTGTGAAGTTTTATTGTATTTTATATATTTTTTGTACCTTCCCCAGCCTGGGGGTATTTGTTGAATAAATATTGAAAAAAAAAAAATATAAAGTATTTTTAAACATACAGATGATTATAAAAAATGAATTGTTTGTAACTGGTGTATTTTTCAAATTGACCTTCACAGCAACTGACCCCTGCCGTTCGAACCCATGTCAAAACTCTGGACTATGCTTCAGTCTGTCATGTAGCGCTACAGGAGGGTTATACTTCTGTGCCTGTCCAGCAGGTGGTTGCTTCAGTGGTACATTTTGTGAAGTAGGTAAGTACTGTAGTGTATTAAGACCTGTCCACACTATCAGCACTGCTGTATGCCCATATATAGTCATGATGTGCCTATATATGGTCATGATGTGCCCAT